GACAAGGCAAATATGAATAGGAATTTTCTATATTAAATTTAAATTAATTAATCATAACAAAATCATTTAGAAAATCTTTCCATAAATAAATTTACCTTTATTTCTTTAAGTAGATTTACAACATTTTATTCTAATTTTTCATTTTTCAAATTAAAGTTTGTTATAATTATTTTTGTCACAAATAAAGTTTGAGGATATAATTATTTTTATAATAAAGATTTACCAATTTTTTAAAAATATATTGTATTATGTTTTGTGACAGAATATTTCAAAATTTATAAAACCCATGTATATATATATATTTTTTTTTCCTAAAGAAACGTTTTTAAACATAAAAATATTTGAAAATGAAAAAATATGAGTTATAGATAATGAAAAGTGACGTTTCAAAAATGACATTTTTGAAAAAAAAAAAATCTTCAAAAATCAATTTAAAAATGACATATTATATTTAATGTTAAAAAAAAAAACACTATGAAAAATTCAATATGAAATAAAAAATTCGTTGAGTGAGTGAAATTAATCTCTAAATCTAATATTTCCTAATTATCCCATAAAATTCTTTGTAAAGAAAATTATATATTTTTTAAAAAGATGATCAAAGGGTTTAGTCTTTTATGAGAGGAATCTCAATTTTTTATAATAAATTACGCACTCTGATATATAGATTATTATGTATTTTATTTGACATATTTACGTATATAAAATAAAAAAGTTAGAATAATAAAATGGTAAAACTAAACTTCTAAAAGTTAGAATATGTTACAATTGCAAAATTTCTTCGTTTATTCAAACTCTAACGGTCAGGACGGACTGGAACTTCGTTATGGTCCCCTGAGGATATCATCTCATGTTCTTCTGCAGCTTTGTCCTGCTCCATCACAGTATTAGCATGATGATGCAGTGATCCTCTGTTCTCCGAGAGTTTGGTATCAGGACTGACTGGAAATTCGTTACGGTCTCCAGAGGACATCATCTCATGTTCTTCTGCAGCTTTGTCCNGCTCCATCANNGTATTNGCATGANGCTGTGGTGATCCTTNTTCGTCAGAGAGTTTGGTATCAGGTATTGTAGTTTTTTCTCCATGGACTACTGCATTATCATTGTCAACCATGACAGAATCTCCGTTATTTTTCAAGATATCTGAATTTACTTCACTGGACCTATGTTATGTTCTTTCACAGTATGCTCGACTAACCCTTCTTCAGGCTCGAAAGTCACTGAAGGAGAAGGACCTAGATGTGAACTTGCTTCTAATTAGAAATTCTTCTCATCTTGGGTTTTCTCATAATCAATCTTCGGTGGATCATCATCGTTGGTTCCCTTCTCAAGGATAAGAGTCACCTTGCTAGAATCTAAAGACCTACTTTCTTCAATAACCATGAGACAATGAGAATCTTTATGTTCGGACGTCGTATATTCTGGAGAATTCGAACGTACGTCATTCGGACCTATGCCATTCGGACATCTGTCCATTTGGACCTAAGTCATAGTTGACTTTTTATAATGGATCAAACTATTGTATTAATTTTTTCCAACAATTTTAATATTAGTTTAGAAATTAGGTTATTCAATCTTTATATAAGTTTATGCACCTTGTAATGTTATTGACACGAGAGTCTATTCTAAATTCTTCTTAAACGCATTTGTGTTCATACTCTCAGCATTCTATTTCATGGTATCAAACCATAAGATCTTGTGAAATTATTTTCTATTAAAACTTTCTTCTTCGCTGCCGTCAGCATTTGCATCCTTAGAACAACCACTACCGCCGCCTCCTTCTTCTACTTAAAGCTTCATCAAAGCTAAATTCCTCATGATTTCTAAAGTTTGATACCTCAACACTACGACCATCGTTGTGATTCTCTAGATACCATCGCCGCCATCTATCTACATGTGCAATCGCCTCTTTCAAAGTCGCTGTTGTCTTATACCTAATCTATTGGGGCCGCTTGTCAAAGCTGCTACCATAATCTCTACTACAATTATTATTTTTTCAGCGTGCTACATGTCATGGATGAAGTCGCGCTAATAACGCTCGTTTTGCATCAGCCACTGCTTCAACCACTGCTTCGTTCTACATCAGCGACTGCTTTGTTCTGCATCAGTGACTACTTCAACAAATGTTTCAAGCACTACTTCAACTACTACTTCAAGCACTAGTAATAACGCTCGTTCTGTTTCAACTGACTACTTCAATTATCGCTTCAGTAGTTTTTTTAACTACTGCTTCAAGCACTACTTCAAGTACTACCACTACTCTATTTATTACACCTCCTCTTGCTACTCTATTCTACTTATAGAACCCTATGACCGGGTATAAATGTCGATGATGACCTGACGGCAGGGTATATTGCCGATATATGAAGACTTGTCCAATCTCACACATGTTACCACGTATGAGCTTGCCGGAAGTATTGGAAGATCGATTAGATCGACTGTATTAAAGAATATCTAAAAGACTATTGGAGAATAGAAATCA